TTCACCTCATATGCCCCCTCTTCTGGGCTCCTGACTCTTTCTGCAGCCTTTCTACCGCTACTCCTTGGCCCCTTCTTACTGCTGTCTGTCAGCCCAACCCCTGATCTTCTGGTAGGTAAGATCGACACCTAGCCTTCTCAGACAAGGGCCAAAAATCTCTGAGGGTCCGTGTGCAATTTGCGCACGTTAAAGATCCCTTGGTGGTCTAAAATCGACAACAATAGGCTTCGGCCGCTACCCGGGAAAATCCAAAACTTCCTGGCAACTGAAAAAGTTTAATGTGTCCCGCGCGCTCATATGACCTTATGCAATTGCGAGCACCGTAAACACCAGCCAAAAGAAAGAAAGAAAAAACCCCCAAACAGACCCTAAGTTGGGTCCTCATAAGAAACGAACAAAAGAATAATAGAGAAGAAAAAACCCAAAACAAAAACAACAGCAACATGATTTTTGATTTAAAGTAGGTCACATTGTTCGGCATTTTCGGAAAAAAAGTACATTTCAGCTCATCACTCTGACTTTGGGGACCTATTACTACGTATACCCCTGGGTCTTAACATCCCGGGGGCTCATTTGGGTCACTGTGACGTCATGCGAAAAAGATACTTTTAAGAATGGTGCAGGGTTAGTTTTCAAATCACTTTCTTTCGTCCTGCTCTTCGAGAAGTTATTAAACGATCTCCGGTAAAAGCCCCACTTAGCTGAAATTCCAGACGTCAAACTAAAAAAAATAAAAAAATAAAAAAACAAAACCCATTCAATAATACCAATCCCTGCCTATGAATTAGTTATACAACCAAACACCTAACTCTCACAGATATAGCACTTGTGTTCAACCAACAGATACTTGTGTCATTTATCAATTGACTGATTGTCTCCCCTGGGCCAGATCACCCTCTCCTCTGCAAGGGGATAGCCCCAGCCCTTGTGCACGTCTCGCAGCACATAGTTTGGAAGTAGGTCCGCTCACAGTAGCCGAATTTGAGCACCAGGGGGCAGTAAGCTACTCGAAACTTGTCCTCGCAGTCTGGAAAGAAGAAGGAGAAGCTAATAAGTAAAACAATCCAAACAAACTATTTATCAACCCCCTCCTGAACAGCAGCAGTAGCAACAACAACGACAACAACAACAACAACAACAACAACAACAACAACAACAACAACAACAACAAC